TAGATAATTGTTGCTTAATCTCTGTGTGTGTTTGTGAGAGAGAGAGCCAGTATGTATATAAGGTTCCGCTAATTCTACTGTTTAATTATACCGCTTGAGGATAGGATTGTAAATTGGAGGGGTGCCCCTATGCTGGCAGGACGGTCAGTTAGAGCCCGGGCCACCATCTTTTGCACAGGCCAACCCAAAAACCAATTCCTGGCTACCCCCGTGGTTTGATCAGACTGACAACTGGCTCTTCTCAGGCAGTGATTAGTCTGACTGACTGTCACAAAAGCACTTTGCACATGATTTCTGTGAAGTGTCACTTTCCTGTGACATTAGAGAAAAAAGCAATTTTTTCAGGATCAGAAAAGGAACATTTGAACATAAGGTTAGAATGAAAAGAGGTCTTTCAACCCATTCAGGTGCCAATAATCTTGACTAGCCATTTGTTGAAAAAAAAAACAGGGAACCATGTGGCTTTACAAACATGCCTGGCTACCTTGTTCCAGACACCCAAAACACTTTAATCACAAGCACACTAAAGCCATTGTCCTGCCAATGGTAACTTTCACTATTATACTGTTTGGGAAAACGGTTTAAAATGGACAAGGCCAGACAAAAGTTCAAATGAAATATTTCATATTCTATATAACAAAAATAAAAAGTAAAACTAAAACACAGATCTCTTAGCTTCCTAGTTCATGAAGCAGTTGACTGAATGACCAAGCCTAACTAGTAACCAGAGCCCCAGTTAACCCTCCGTAACACAAAGTTTAAGTACACGACAGGAACTCTTTCACACTGAGTGAAAATCATAAATGGACCCATAACTGTACATAATTTTACTATGTCGGCCAATACCTGCATTTACATTTAGAACTAATGATGTCATAGAACAAGTATCAGCATCACAGCAGTTCGAAGTCTCCAAGGAGACAACAGAACCTCAGTTGTTTGTTAATATACACACTTTGAAACATACTGTAACATTTAGTTAACATGTCAGGTTTAGTTGAAGAATCGGCTAAGGTAAGTTTCAGGGTTTAATGGTGGGATGGCACCTGTGCAACCGTTAGAATATGATTAGCACCAAACCCAAAAGAAATACTGCACAGTTCAGGAACTTCATGAATCTAGCAACCGTAAAATAAGCTTACAAACAACTGAATTGAAATGCAAAAAAGTTAAGAGAAAGGCACAAAATATGTTTGCTTGGGGTTTAAAAAATTAAAGCTAACTAAAACTGTAATGATAAACAATCATGCTGCCAATTTACAGAGAAATATAATGTTTTTTGAAAAATTTATTATTTGTTATATAGGAACCCAGTATAATGGAATCCCTTGCGAACCTGTCTGCAGAGATAAAGGTTAGCATTTTTTTCTCTTTACTCTGTCATTCCCAGAAATATAATGATCATAAATATATTTTCCCAATCTTTTCATAGTAATCCAAACAACTCTGCGTGTATCTGACATTTGTAACATGAATCTACCACAGTATACCTTTTCTGGCAAGGTGATTGGTATTGTACAGTACCTTGAAAGAAAAATTATTGGAAATTTATGGTTTCTATTGATGTAAAGTGGCAAATGCTGACTGGTGATGTTATGTGAATCTTAATAAATGGTAATTTTTCAATCGTGTCAATGTTTCTTTGAGACAGAGAGGTAAATCTCTGCAATCCGAGCTGAGGGCATTTCTTGGAATGGAAAGGTAAGAGCAACGTGTTCTTTGATATTCTCTTAAGACTCTTC